TTCTCAAGTCAGAAAAATATGAAATAATAATTGCTCACCAACGCCTACAATATTAGAGCAAGTTAAGGAGCTTAAAATCAATCTGCCATCCTAGAGCTTTAGCTATATTGATAAAAATTTCAAAATCGCAAAGCCATAACATCTTAAATTCCACCTTAACCAAGCTTATAAATGAAAGCAGAGCCACAAGCTTCAACGCCTAAACACCTGAAAGAATGAGAGAGAATGAAGAGGCTGACTGAGCTAGCAATTGATAGTGTTACAGGCAGCTGAGTTAGTTAGAAATATAGGCAGACAGAGCCAGGCCCTTGAGAGACCCAGTGCAGAAGACCAGATATCTTGCAACCTTGGAGGAGATAGACATCTCTACTGCAGACCAGATTGCAAGACAAAAGATAAAACAAACACAACCACATCCTAAGCTTGGGGTTGATATTTTATATAGCCATCAGTCACTTTGAGGAAGCCAGAAGGAGCCACCAATCCAACCCCTTACAGGAAAAAGCCCTATACTACATTCATGTCCACTTGCTACATGAGTCTTTTTCCCATTGGATCCAAATTTAATCAATTTTACCTGGGTTATTACACTTGTGATCTTATTGGTTGACCAAGTTTTGTCTCACCTCATGCCTACCTGCCTTGCAAATTTCAATTTTTCCCCCACTCAACTCGTGGTTTTGCTCTACAAAAGTCCCTAGAAAAGACAGAGTCCTCAGCAATCCACATGGGACTTCTCTGTCTCTCTCTCAGACACAAGCATTATTTCTCTCAATAAATATTCTGCTCTTGACCTCTGTCATTCCTAAAATTCATTCTTCAATTTTAGAGAACACGAACTCGTACCAGACATATAGTAGGTTGGGAGTTTCTTTTTCCTATATCATAGTATGTTACAACTACTATCCAGAAAAACTATGAAGAATATTTCTCAGAAAAATTCATATTTATCTAGAGTTTCAGCACCTTTACTTAACTTTTTTCAGGTTCACAATTGTGTCATCATGAAAGTGAGATCTCGCTAGTGTGTTTGCACATTCTTCTCTGTGTTCCTAGGGTTTAAAAAACCACATCTGTTTACTCTGATCGAGCCTCAGACCCAGGTTTTTCCTACTGATGTGAGAATCTGTAGTTTTTATTTTCAGTTTGGACTTAACCTAGTGAGTGCTACATCAATCCAACCCAGAACAAAGACTGTTCAGATGGCTCTGACTCTTGGTGATTCATTCTTTGTACCTGTGAAATTCTCAGTATATGAATAGAAATTGTCTTACATACAGGAGGACCCATCCAGTCCCTGAACACCTGCACAATGACTGTAGTTCCCAGGACATGGCTCATGCCTACTAATGTTCATTGACTCCTAACCTCTTTTGTCTGATCCCCTTATCCCCTACTCTCACATCACCTGGGCCTTCTAGTATCTGCTCCCACCAGTTCCCTTGCTCATCCTATAGGTCATCCCCATAGGACCTGACTGATCATCTCTGTGCCTTTGCTTGTGCTTTCCTTTCACCCAATAAGCTCTTTGACCCATCAACTGAAACCAAGTCCCTTCTTCACTAATTCCAATGCCACTGACTCCGGGGAGACTCTAACGCCCAGTGAAAGCAATTTGTCCACTCTCTGAAGTCCTACTGAATTTCCCTGACATTCTGACCTTCTCTTACAGAATGCATCCTTTTCTGTCTCATCTCAGAGCTATTTTTGTATGGTCTTTCTCTCCTATATACTGATGTGCGCATTTTGTTCACCACAGTATCCTTCAAAGGGAACACTTTAGGGGATACCATATGTCAAACAGTTCTACCTGTGGGCTTTTCCAAAGACCTGACTACTATGGGGCATGGCCACCCCCCTATTTATCTTTCAGTGACAGAAACACAGATTAAGTCAGGAGAAGAGACTCCACTCATCTCCATCTGCAGAGGGACCACTCTCTCACTTACTCCTCTAAGGATGCTGCAGACGTATGAGAACATTTACAAACCAAGTGTGTGCTGTTTAGCTCAGTCTGTGCCAATGACTGTCATCACTCACTCATTAAAAATGGTGGGCAGATCAGCCTGGAGTGACAGCTAAGGATGACAGATCATAATTCCAAAAGGCACTTCCTGGTGCACTTAAAATTTGTTTAAGCTAAACAAAGACAAAGTAAGGGTGTCCATTCCTGTGAGAAAATAATAATTACTAAAATTTAGGTTATTCTATGTAACCAACCCTAAGCCTTTCACTGGTAGTACTGATGTCAGGCTATGTGGAGCAGAGAAAATTCTACTGCGTTAGAACCACCCGTGGCTCACTCCTAGGCCAGCAGTTGCTGTGTACTCAGTAAACACCTCTTAATTGATGGGAAATTAAAGGTTAACTGCTGCACAAAGTTTTCAAGATTAAACTGGACAGATAAAATAGATACTCTACATGTTGATAGTGATAGTGACAGCTAAGGATGACAGGCACTTCCTCAGCAAAAACGCACTACATCTGACCGTCACCAGCCAGTCCTGGGGACAAGCTCATTATCAAAGATTTTGAGCACTGATATTTTCTTGCAATTAGCTCCAGTGGTACTCTTCCTTTAGTAAGTGCCATATTCAGGTAAATTGCAATTCAAGTAAAATGCAATTCCTATTTTTATAAGGCCATGTGAATTTCTGTATTTGCTCCCAAATGAAAAACCACCCCCACCGGGATGAGGAGCACTTAGAAATGGTAATCAGAGGAGGATTTTTAAACTATATGATATTTGAGGCTTGATATTTTTTGAAAAATCCAAAATAGCCAACATAAAAATGTAATTCAGGCTCTGTCACCCTCTACCTGGCGGTCCCATGACAATGGGACCACAATGCTCTGAGGAGACAGTATTCACAGGAATTGGCTCCTTGGCTGAGCAGCAGGAAGAGATGTCTCTTTATCCTCAGTGTCTACAAAGCATTGGATAAGAGGTTTTTTCCACCTTTCACACATTAGCAAATATTCCACAGAAAAAATGATCCCCCGCAAAGCTGTGCCTTAAGCCTAAAAGCATTTTAAGAAAGGTGATGCCAGCTTTATAGTGATCTTTTTCCCTCTGCCATCTGCTTTCTTCATGCTCTGGGATATCTGCTGTTCTTCTTCAGGATATAGAGAGGAGTACCCTTCCCCACCGGGAGATCAGCTGGGTGTGGCCAGCTCAGAACTGAGTCCTGTGGGAAGAGGCCTGCACTTCTGGGCTGAAGAACAGATGATCAGGCTGACGTCTCCAAATGCTTTCCTCCCCTGTCACATCGACCCAGGAGGCTGAGGGTGCAGACAGTCCAGATCTCAGCAGGAAAGCTTTTGTCTTTCCAACCCTGCAGTCATGAAGTTAAAGAAGGAATCTACCTGTGATTTGTTATACTGTGACTGTAGGAACTGTTACTGTCTCATAACCTAGCCTGTTACACATTTGCTTCCAGTGCCATAGCTCCTAAGAGCTCAGTGCGCAGAAGCATTTAGAGAGTGGCCTTGAGGCACGATCCATTATTTTTTAAAAAAATAAAAGTTTCTTCTTTCTAGAAGCATGCAGGGTTACCACAGGCAGCCATTCTGAGTCTGAGAATCATTCAGCTTTGCTATCAAAAAGAAAGGTCGTCTAGTGGTATAACTAACCATCAACTGAAATACTAGGAATACAGGTTTAAGTTGCCCAGGGTCACCATCACACAGACCTTTTGGAAGTGAAATAATCAAGGTTCTCCGGGATATGTACCAACAGGATATGTACATGATGGTCTGCATGTGTGAAGATTTTAAAGAACTGGCTCATTGTGATTGTGCAGGCTGACAGGTTAAAATCTGCAGAACAGGCCCAGGCGGGAGCCCCAGGGAAGATCTGCAGTTCTACTTCATTGGAAGTATTCATCGTTGCAGGAGATCAGGAATACTCTGTTAAGGCCTTTAACTGAGTCAGTAAGGACCACCCACGTTAAGGAGGGTAATTTGCTTAACTCACAATGTACAGATTTAACTTTATCTTAAAGATCTTCACAGAAACATCTAGAATATGTCTCACCAAATATCTAGATACCATGGCCTGGCCAAGTTGACACATAAAATTAAAATTAACCAACACAAGGAGAAGTCATAGTCCATTTTGTGGTAAGGTGTTTCCAACCATAAAATAATCTGCCTCCTATACATTCCAGCTCAGTAATCCTGCAAAAATCCATTCTCACACACACACACTTTCTCTTTCTCTCCCCAAAAAAGGAAAATTACAGTGTATCTTCCTGGCTACTCAACAAGATTTGCCCTAATCTGAATTTGTTCTGAGCTCTTCTTACTATGCTTGTAAGCCACACCATATTTTCAAGTTCCCTGGACTTGTATAATAAAAAAGCAAAGGCACATGCCTTTATTTTCTTGAAAATAATATTTTTATAACCAAAATCAAGCACATTTTCGCTGATGTTACTCAGTGTTCAGTAAGCACCCTCATAAACACCCTTCATTAATAAGTTCTTTCACCAGTTTAAAACACACACCCATGTTCAGATGCAATGATGAGAATTAGGTAATCTGAAGTTTCTTTTTTTATGTCAGCTTCAGGGAAACTCAGCGTTTAACTCAGTATTTATCATCACTAAGCGATTCAGCCGAGTAAACGGTAACAATTATTTCTCTGCTTTTTGAAGTAGTTCTAAAAACTAGCTCTCATCCTATTTTGCCACCATCCTTTTTCACTGCTTTTAACCTAAAAAGTCATCTGAATCCTTTTCAGGGAAATGAGAAAATACATTCCAATTAACAAACATTTCAATGCAAGCACCAGGCCTGAACACTGAGGAAAGGACCAAGTCAACCAATTTGATAAGGGCAACATGAACGAAAGGCCAGGGGAAAGTGGGAACACACCTCACACACCGGTATCATGTCCATAACCCGCCCCTACTCTATACCCACCGGACGCAGCCCCTGATTCTGGTTCTCAGCTTCCTGTAGACAGTAACAGACATTCAGAAATAGCCCAGACTTACTCTTGATGTGGGGCACCTGTCTTGGTCAGCAAGGTCAGCACAAAAAACATGAAAATCACGAAAACTGCAAGTCCAACCCAAAATCCAATCACAATGGAATCTGCAAGACAGTTAACAATGGGATTAGTATTTCATAGAAGTTTAATATTAAAGGATCAAGAAATGTAAGTTATTTGGAGATGCCTTTGTGTGTGAACTATGAGAAGATGTCCGCAGCGTCACTGTAGACACAGAGAAAGAAGGAAGCATCTCTGGCTCCTGGGTTTCCATCTCAATAAAGAAGAGGCTCAGGCTCATGGAGTCTTGGTTTCTACATCTCCATGAAGGGTCTAGGACAAAATGCAGGTCATCTATATTCTATTTTGCCGTCTTGAGTTAGAAAATATACTCTTTTGCAGACTGCTAAACAAAAGTTTAAAATGAATTGGTTTCAGTCAACCCAGATGTGTATTTTCAATTATGTTTAATTCAATTCCAAGCCATTTCTTGCAAAGAACATACAAAAAGACCCTGAAATACTTTTCTTACCTTTTGCTGTTCTTTGTAGTTCATCTCTGTAAACTTGCTTTGTCCTAGCTCTCATAATTTTGTTATTTTATGAAGGGTCCTTCAACAAAGATAGACCTAACTGACTTTATCAGATTGAATCTTCATATAGAGACCACTTTATATAATATCTGGTATCCTAGAACATTGGTACTTGTTTTTATCATGAGAAATATAATCTCTTTCTTCTAACTTACCCCTACTTTAAATCCTATTTGTTTTTAATTGAACAAGGTCACTGTGTGCTTGTATTTACCTGAGTTTTTGTCTACAGTTTTCTCACACCCATACCTTTATAAGGGCCTCTCTCCCTACCTGGCTGCAAGAATTTGGCCACGTGGACGTAAGGAAAGGTCATCCATCCTTCAAAGTTCATCCCCAACACCATTTCCTTTATAACACATTAGCTTATTCCCCTAACCCGTGTGCTCTCTCTTTCCTTTGAGCCCCACATATGCCTTTGGTTCTCAAAGCAGGCCATTCCTTGATACCACCTTAAGTAATCCCAAGTACAGATGGACCCTGATTTACAATTGTTTGATTTTACAATATACCTTGAGTGGAAATCATACTTAGGTTTTGAATTTCGATCCTGCGTTAGTGTCTGTGATGTAGTCCTCTCTCTTAATGCTGGGCAGCAGCTCTCAAGTCAGTCACATAACCTGGCAGGGAACTAAGGGCTTCTCTGTAGTGCTCTGTGCTGAAGAGTTATAATGTTTGATAGGGAAGGTATACTAAACGCATTTTAAGTTTATGATATTATAAGCTTATTAGGATATAGCCTCACTGAAAATTAAGGTACATCTGTATATGATTCTAGGACAACAAGTACACTAGATTGTCTACAGAATTTGGCATATAAACACTGGAGTCTAAAAATCTAAATGGCAAATGAATTGAGTCATCTGGCATTTTTGATCTATACTACAATGTTTATGTATGTGAGAATACAGTGAGAATGATTAAGACTTTCAAAAAATAAAGAACTAGAGCTTATGTAGCAAATGTGCTTAAATGAAAAATATTTTTCTGATTAAACTATGTATTTGCGTCATTTTTATAGTGAAAGTGAGATATAAATAAAATCAGCAAAAAACATATGTATTCAATTCAACAAACATGGGACAATAAAAATCTGAATTATCTAGACTACAAAAAATACCATTCCCATAACAGTTCTACATACTGTACTTTATCAACCAAAAGCATACCAAAAGCAAAATTTAAAATTGTATACCAATGTTATATTTATGTTCTCAGTTTATAATTTGGTCTTGTCATAATGACTGACATTTTTTTTCAAATCTGCATGCTGGGAAGGTTTTCTCAGGAAAACTGCTTTCATACTGCAAATGCTGGGTTGAGGACAGTCAAGAGATAGAATAGGGTGCCCCGCCCCCTTCTTCCCATTTGTGCTCAGAAAACTGATTAAAATGCAGAATAATGTAGGCTTGGAAGACTCATGGCCCCCAAAGAAGTCATGAGAGATCTACGAGGGGGATGCAGAAATGGGAGGAAGAGGGTCATTTTGGAGAGCTGCCCTTATCCAACAGCATTTCCAAATGTTTCCTCGATCATCTACACTTTCCATGACAGTATGCTCAAAGTAGCTTTACTTATTCACATTGCACTTCAAGTAAAATTCTGCCTTTTCAAATTACTTTCATAAGTTTTTCCTCAACCATGTCATCTGCCACATGGCCCAGGCTCAGGACGCTTTCTTACCTTGAGTTCCTTACAGGGAACAATGGAAATCCCTATTTCACAGCAGGAATATCTAAAATCCCTTGCAATTTTATTTTCATGCCAAATTTCATGCAAAGGCACTGATCTTCCCAAATGCACTCCTTACTGGGAAGAAGTTGAAACAGAGGTATACCCAGAGTGAGGATTCAATGGGGCCAGAAGTTTAGGGAAATCAAGGGAAATATTTTAGGTGGATCCTACTACATTTACACTTTTCAGATAGCCCCACACTGTTTTGTCTAGACACTGAGCTACTTGGAGACCAAATACAGTGAGACTGTAGGACTAGTTGCTCAGAAGAATTCCTAATGGAATGTACCATAATAAAGTATCTCCTGTTAACCTGACCTCTAGTGAATGGAATGGAAAGAGATGATTAGCTTTTTTTCTTTAAGTCTTATCTTTTTCATTCTAAGGTAGGACTATAGCAATTACCCTATGCCATTCTCTCTCCTTCTTCCTCCTAGGAATGCATATTGACCTTCTGTGTCATTGTTGTATGAAAAATGAGAGTTAATGTGTCATTCAAAAGGGACAATTCAAGACACCAGAGCCAGCTCTGTCTGAAAAGACTTCCATTCCTAAAGTGTGAGAGTCAGTTTCATGGTATCAATTCCAGGCACAGAGCCTGCATTTCTCTCTCAAGTGATGTTCTTACATTTGTTTCCGAGACACATCTTACTCCAAGCTCTTGCAAAAATGAACTCTTAAATGTTTTCCTTTTCTTGAAACATTACAAGTCCTTCCAATATTTATGCTCTTTTTTTATGCCTGATTTTCACTGTAAATCTGGCTGGAAGCAGCCAGCAATATTCATGCCATAGCCTTAATACTGCACTGCCTCGAAGTTTCCTCCACCAAATAACATGTCCCATTACCTTTTAACTCTTCTTCCATAAATGTCAGAGCATGGGCAAAATGTAAAGTTCTTTGCAAAATCTAATACAAATGGCCTGTAGTCCAATTCTTAATAGAAATCTCAATTCCTCATTTTTGTCAAAGCTACATCAGCATCGCCTTAACTGTCCACATCCCTATCAGCATTCTGGTGTGAGTAGCTATCAAAATGGTCCAGCAGGTTCTAGTTATAGCATCTTAGGGTTTTTTTTCCCCACTCTTCCAAAATCTTCCCACAAACCACTTACTTCCAAAAGCTTCTAAACTATGTTATCAAGTATGGTCATAATAATCCTATTTCAAGATGCTGATTTTGTCATAATTATGACAAAACATCTGAGGTAAATAATTTAAAAGGAAGCAAGATTTATTTTGGTTTAGGGTAGCAGAGGTGTCAGTCCATGGTCATTTGGACCAGTTGCCTTGGAGCATGTGACAATGCAGTATACAATACTGGGAAATGCACGGCAGAAGACACTGCTAATCTGGGAGATAAGGATAGTACAATTTCCAAAAGGATCTGTATCATTAAAAATAAACCACATGCTTTGCACCAGGACAAGAAGAAAGATGCCTTGAGAGCATCTCAGGAATTAGCAAGACCATACCCACTGGCCCTCAAAGATTTTTGACATAATAGCCTTCAAGTACTTTTCTTGTATAGTGCCCCATAGAAAATTGTTTCCCTTGGGTCTGATTCTCCATGTTCAGATATCTAGACGCTCATAAGCTGTTACTCCATGGTACAAGCAGGCTGGCTACTATTTGAGCCAGTGGCAGACTCTGGCATTGTTCATATGATGCTAGTTTGCAGGCATGCAGAATGCAAGAGTTGTGAGGTCATGAAGACTCCCAACAAGATTTCAAATAGAAATTCTTGAAGACCAGGGAGTGTATGGTAGAATTAGAGTCACTACAAGTAGCACCTGATGGTGTGATGAATGAAGCTGTGATAATAAAGCCAAAAGTGCAGTGAAGACACCACAAAGTTACAGATGTCAAGGACGTGGAACATCTATTGAGGGAGAGTTGTCAGTGAGCAGAGCCAGGTGAAGAAAGAGGTCAGATGGGCTGCAGGCTGTGGAGATGGTGTTACCTAGTTGCTTTGGAGCTCATCTGGCATTTCCATGTGCCCTAGATGCAAGATGTTATCGTTTCTGTCTAGATGTTCCCCCAAGTCTTATGCAGTTCAGGCTGGCCTCAAACTCACAGCAATCCTCCTGTCTCAGGCAACCTATGCACTTTTATATTTTATTTTATATTTAATTTAATTTAATTTTTCCTAGAATAAAACCAAAAGAAAAATAAAACAGAATAAAGCAAATCAAAACAAGACAATGAAAGCAATAAAGGGCTTCAAAACAAGATTAGAGGAAATCAACAATGGCTAACATAAGTTGTTATCTTCAAAATAGCTTCCCAAATGATCAGACAATAAATTTTTTAAAAAATAGAGATAGGGGCTGGGGATTTAGCTCAGCGGCATGAGCACCTGCTTTGTAAGCAGGCAGTCATGAGTTCGATCCCTGGTACCGATAAAAATGAAAAAGACAAAAAAAAATAGAGATAAAACCAAACCAAACAAAACAATGAAAATGATACAGAACTTCAAAACAAGATAATAGGAAATTAACAATGACCACCATAATGCCTCTTGTTATCTTCCAAATAGCTGTCCAGACCATCAGACACAGGCATGTAAAATTAACCAAAAAATACAAAAATTGTTTCTTCTCTCCTTCAGCTGTTATCTTTTCACAAATTTGGGGTGTGTGACTTCTAATTTCTAGTGTATCTGTGTCTCCTGAAGTTATTCAGTGTGGACTGGAGGTCTGAGAATGTATTTTGTCCTTCATCTTGACTTTTCCTGTGTTCCTCAGAATGAGCCCATTGCTGCAACCTGGATGCTTC